GTCAAAAAGCGACTCAGAACGAAAAACCTGCCCCGGGGAAAAGGCCAGCCGGGACTTCCGGGGATGCCGTCCTGAAAAAATCAGGACGTCGCATGTCTGGGGTCGGAGCAGCCGGATGTCTGGGGCACCCCCTCTCCTGCCTCTGCTCGCTCCGGTGGCTTTTTCTGTCTACTGGTCGACACTTCTGCCCACATTGGCACCGCCTCCCCCCCCCCCCCTCGGCTGAGGGCGCGGCGCCGGGCTCGACGGAGGATCCGCCCGAAGACCGCCCCAGGGAAGCTGGGTCGAGCGCCGTTGGCTCTGCAGCTGGGGGCGCGGATCTCCAGACCTGGCGGCCCCGAGGGCCGACCTGGCCCGCACAGCTCGAGGCAGGCGTGCTTCCCTCCCTGGAGCGCTTCTTGGCATCGCTCGGACGTGTGATTTTTTTCTCGGCGAGAACCATCGAGGACCGTCCTGGACAATCGAGCACCGTCCTGGACAATCGAGCAAAAAACACGCACGAAACCGACAAATGCACGGGAAATGGACGCCCGAGCGACGGCAAGGCTTCTCCTGGTCGGCAGCACGCTGCTGTCGCGGGGGGCCTCGCGGAGCTCTCCCCTGGAGCAGCACGAGACACGAAGCGCGAGAATACATCTGACTGGTCGGGGTGAGCCCAGATGGCGAACTCAGCGCGGGGCAAACATCGAGCCGGACGAAAGGGGGGGATAGGAAAAGCGGGGGGGGGTACGATACGAAATCTGCTGCATGCAGCTGGTTTCGGCCCCGCCGCCAGGCCCATTCCTCGATACATGGACGCCTCCCGGCGCCCGGAGGCGCTGGGAAAATCAGCTACGTGAGCTGATTCTCTACCCTACCCTTTGCTATTCCCCCCTTTCGCTCCCCCCGGAAAAAGAGGGGGAGGGGGAGAGAAGGAGGAGATAGGAGGAGACGCGCGGCACTCCACTCCGTCGGGGAGCACGGTCGGCGCACGCAGGCCCGCGCAGAGGCAGCGATCTGCCTGCTCCGGAGCCCGCGCAGGCGCCCCGGATGCGGCGGCGAGGTCGCCCTCGCCAGGTCGCCCTCGGAGCGGAAGCCGCGTCCACGGCCGCGTGTCCGACCACCCTCTTCTCTTTCTTTTTTCCCCAGGCCGCCAACTCATGCCAGGCGATCGCAAACGCGGATCAAGGGGGCGTGGATTAGCGACGAGGGCCGTGTCCATGGGAAGCCGCGGATCCCCGCCGCCGAGCGAGGCGGCACCGGCCGGCCGCATTTCGGGGAGGGCACCTCCCCCGATCCATGGATCTGGCGACCGCGCGCCGAGTCCATGGATCGCTAATCCATGTTTTAACGGGCGAAGAACGGTATAAAATAAACCTTTTCGCTGTCGGGGGCGCCTGTCCCAGGGCGGCTGGAAAGTTTATACCCTTACGGTGGCACCGTAGAGGTATAAATTTTCCAGCCGCCCAGGGACAGGCGCCCCCGACAGCGAAAAAGTTTATCTTATACAGTTCTTCGGTCGCTCAATGTTTGCGGGGCCCGATATTTGCCTTT